ATTATACGCTCCTAAGTGTATTTACAGTTTACTTGTAGCAGCAGTTGCTGATGCGTTATGGTAGGCAAGGGAAAGGTCGAACTCATATATGATTCTAAAAAAAGTGAAACGCAAAATTTCAAGAGATATGAAGTCACCATTAGATGTCCTTGCGGACTCTTGTTTATTTAGGTACACGCTAAAGCCAAGCCTGCCTTTATTTTCAGCGTCTTATTGGCTAGACCTTGAAGGCGCGACATTTGATCCCGGTGGGTGATGCCTGGTGTGTTGCGGTTTGTGCCTGCCGTTCCCATTTATAAGTTACAAGGGTTGACGCTACTTGTAAATCATGAGTCCGCTCCCAAAATTCCTTCCATGTTTGTGGCAACTTACTGCCAACTAGTCATTTATCGTGTAACCCTCCTCCCACGTGTTGAAACAGTGCCTTGACTTCCCGTTTTTCTACTGTATAGGTTTTCGTTTCTAGCCTACTAACCTTACATGGGTTTTCATTTTGGGTTATTTGCGTTTGTACATCACAAATTTTAGCATTAAGTCAAAATTGGATGTTCAATTGTGTTCTTTTCTAAATTTTACGACCCTATTCTTGTTTGGTATTATAAACTGCCCTTATCTTTACTTTAAAATGTCTTAAACATGGATGTTTGTAGTGGTCCCATAGAATGAAGGCGCTGATCCTCGTTGGTGGTTATGGAACGCGGTTACGTCCCCTCACGCTCAGCTTTCCCAAGCCTATCGTAGAATTTTGCAATAAACCTCTTCTCCTTCATCAGATAGAAGCCTTAGTTAAGGTGGGTCCTACATATTTGAAAGCTCGGTTTATAAACACATCTATTCATACCTTGTTCCAATGGACTGTTTTTTTCTTGTCTGCTTAGACCATGATGGCTTTATTATTGTTAATCTCGCTGTAAATGAGCTTTTGACCAGTGTTGAACCTTTTCCTGGCTGTAGGCTGGTGTCCAAGAGATTATACTTGCGGTTAGCAAGTGTGCAGACCGTTGCGATCTCTTGGAGGGTGAGGTTAAGAAACACGAAGCTTCCGTAAGTTTAATTCTTCATTCGGAAACTAAGTGGTTTTACTCTTCATCAGTAATATTCCATCAATTTTTAGCTCGGAATAAAGATAAGATTCTCTTATGAAACAGAGCCTCTCGGCACAGGTTAGTTTCTTCAAGTTTGCTCACCATTTCTATTTATCCGTTGACAAATTTTGTCTTCCTTCTACTAATTTGCACCTCCCATCCTAACAATATTCAGCGGGTCCATTGGCATTGGCATCAAAGTGGTTGTCGGGTTCAAACGAGCCCTTCTTCATGCTTAACAGTGATGTCATTTGCGCATTCCCATTTGAGGAGTTGAAACAAGTGCACGCTAAGCACAAGGGTGAGGCCACAATCGCCGTAAGTTGTTCCTCTTCCTAAAGAGGGTCTGTGGAGGAAAGCAAATTATTAAATTCAAAAATAATCCACTAACCGATTTTTACGTTGGCGCGCGATATTTTCTGCGCTTCATTGTTTATTGTCGTGTTTTGATTCTGTGACACTGCAATTTGTTTGATTTTGACTACATTTCCTCTGTGCATTTGTGTACGATTTCGCTCACACTTGTTCTACGAGCTTTTGAGCAACATTTTACTGCTTTCTTTATTTGATGAAGAAACTACTTTGTGAGAATATTATAGGGCAGTTTTCATGGCATTCGTTGTGCAAGTACTTTTGAGTTGCTAACACCAAAAACACCCTGCAAGGCTCATTATTTAGTTATTGCATTGATCGTGAGACGTGAACTGAATAGGTGTTTTGATCCCCCAACTGACCTCATCCTTTTGCGGTGGCTAGCGAACTCTACTAATTGCTTGCAATAAGGTTGGGTGAAATCAAACCGTTTGATTAGCTGACCTTGTCTAAAGATTGCAACCACATCATACATGGGTAACTTTTCT